ATTTCAAGGGTATAGAAGTCTTCAAAGCTATATTCTAAACAATCCACGATACTTTCAATAAATATTTATTTATTTATATCAAATGGCAGGCGTCTTGATGGTTATCATTAGCCCTTTAGTTGACTTCAGGCTTCACAGAGGTGAAGGAACATCAAATTGAAAAAAAGTCGAGAGGGGGGGGGAATAGAAGAGTGTTTCAAAGATGCAAGAGACAAACATAAAGGTAGAACAAAGGTGAGGTGAGTACTGTGAAAATATTCGAATATGACACAGAGTGAGGTGATGGTAGTTTGAAGTGAGAAGTCAACTGCCAGTCAATAGACTTTTTTGCCGTATGAGCATACGTTGCCCAGAGGGCACCACGTGGAGGTAAGTTCATTGCACACCCCCCACTTCCAATTAATATACAATATTTCTTCTAAAATACCATTGACCTTCGGAAATTGATATTTACTTTAGGAAATTTCAGTTTTAAAATAAAGGTTTAATCCTATATTTAAGGTTTCTTTCCTTTTTAAAAAAACATAACTATTTAATATTTCGTGATCTCTCATATGGAATTTAGCTTTAAAATTATAATTTGTGGTAATTCCTATCTCAAGTTTGATTGATATATTTGATTGTCATGGGAGAAATATTCATTTGTTTATTATATGTATACATATTTATTGAAATATGGCTTATAATTTGTACATCGGTCGAATTGTATGGTTTTTATTTGAAATCACTTATGTAATTTTTATGCGCGTTAAAGAATTTTTCATTGAAATCTATCATTTTCCTACATAAAATCTTTCTATGTACTCTTTTATTGTGGCTTAAATTCGTCTGATTTTATTATAAACTTGTCCACTGGGCTTGAACCTGTAAAAATTCTGAAGCGCTTCACTTTTGGATTTGCCAACAAAATTAATCAATTAACGTCATAGCTAAGGACATTTATTTAATTGAATAAACCAGTCTAGTTGAAATTAATATCAAACTATGATAACAAGGCTCTAGAGCATCTAATATTACAGCTTGGCTTTTATTACACATTTAATAAAACTTAACAAATAAATAAATAAATAAGATCGAGCAATATACGTTTGTGATTTTATATCTCACTCTAATATTTTACAGATTTGAGCGCTTTCGTACTGTCAATTAGCAAAACAATATTCCTCTTTTACAGTGAGTGTTTAAAAACTAAACCTGATTTAGAACTTTTAAATTAATAGCAATACGGTTGTGAAGCTTGATTATAAATTTGTTGATGACGCCTACAAAATTTGATTTATAAGGATAGTTCTGAAGCTATGGCGCGCTCTTCTATCGGCAATGATTAAATTTGATATTCTTTTATATTATATGGAAATAGAAAGCAGAAGTTGCCAAAAATAACACTATTTAATTCAAATTTTCTGCTATTTAAATCAATACGTCTTTCATTATGATCTCAAATTGCAAACATTTTCTTCATGTTAACGAAATACGCCATAGATAACTTGAAAGGTCGATAAAGTTGGCCCTAAGAAAGCCATGAAACGGCAAGATCATGGAAACCTTATTCGGTTAGATGTGAGTTCGTAACGAGGTGAATGCGTAAAATGGGACAATGGCTCAATAAACATCGGACATTTTGAAGCTCCATCAACGTATCCATTGGAATTTGTTGTTACCAATTTTACTTTCTGTCATAGAAGGAAGAAGGCTGACCATATATTTCTTGTTGATAAAATTGCACAGAAATATGGCAATTAATTTTTTATTATTCTCGATAATATCTCAATTCTCTTAATTCAAGACCTTTTTGAGGGCATCAACGCCTAAAATAATGTTACATTTCATTCATGAAATAAAATCTGCAAAAATATATCTCCAGAGTGATTAAATCCACAAATGAAAGTTCTTTTTAAACAGTAAAAATACCTGCACTTCTGTCAATGGAAATGATGGTGCATTATTCTAAAATAGAGCGAAACCAAAAAATCTCCAATTTGCCATTGTGTGTGTGTGTGTAAAATCGTATTCGGGTAAGAGATAAGCAAGGGCTTGTAGAGTGAATTGAAAATGGCGCATCCAAAGGGTAAATTCATTTGATTTTGTGACACAATCGTTAGAGCATTCACTTAATGAAGAGTTCACTGCCTCACTTTCCAAAATTTTTATTGCATACTTAGAATCATGAGTTAGTGGTCAAGTTCTCTTTCACAATCTCAGCTACTAATTGGCTCGCTGTTTCACTATGATTATCGGTTTTCTCATTTCAATTAAATTCTCCTTTTGAAGGTCAAAAAGTAAGTTTGTTTATGAGTAATATTAAACATTTGGGACTATTTAGGCATATCAGAGACTAAGAAGCATGGTTCATTTGAGATTAACTTTAGTGTTAAAATAAGGGTTTTTTATTTAAAAATAAGCTAATTACAATACTCATCAAAAAAGTGGTATAATTCTTTTAATCGTAGTAATCATTAAAGCATTTTTAAGATCGGCGATCATTTTTAAAAAAATCCAAAATTTCAAAATATTTTAGATCAGCCAAATTATCTTCCATGAAATCTCTAACGCGGTGCGTAATTTTGAAGTTTGATCAAAAGCTTGCCACTAGTTGAGTGCTTTACAGGTTTGCACCAGTTTGTTTGCTTTTAAACCAATATATTAACTACATTTCACTGTAGAATTTGTAATTAAGGGGGTGGGGAGGGGGGTATTTCAAAATTTACTATTCCAAATCGTGACAATCTAAAGCAGATAATCGTGTTATAGGTAAAAATATATTTGTGCATAAATTCTATATCTTGGTCTGTGATTTGTACAAACTCTGAATCATCATTAGGTTTATTGGTGGATAAGGTCACGGAAATTGTAAAATTTGCATTGAAGCTTCGTAACTACGTTCAATGAGTAACCTTGGAAAGTATAACTAGAAGTTGTGATTGTTGATTTTTCTTCGGTCACTGGCTTCTTGTTTCCTCTTACCTGCTCTGCTATAACTGAATAATTAAAGATAAGTCAAGATAGTGGGGACAAGAGGCCTAGAGGAAACGCGAAGAAGAATCAGCGTGTTTTTATACAAAGGAAGTATATATTCTATTCAATTTTGAACCAATGCGTCATTTTTTCGTTCTCGAGGGGTGATAACAAAGAGTGCAATATCAATGATCCATAGCCAAACAGGCATCATCGGGACACGATCTCAATTGGTTTGGAGTCTGGATCTGGTTTCATAACGTGTACGCGATCAGTAGATAAGTGGCATTTGAATGTAAGAGAAGAGGACTAAAAGAAGGCGTATTCTATCTGGCTACTGACAAATTTCCCCTCCGTAAGTAGAAATGAAGGGTAAGTTTTGTTAAATCTTTCCAAAACTTGTACCACCCTTGACTGATATATAATGGTAGTACTCACTCCTCCTTCGTGGGTTTAAATATTTTAAAAATTTGAAAAAAACTTACCTAAATCGTTAAGATAAGTGTTAAAAGCATTAAAGTAAATTTGACGAAAAGTATCCTGAAGCCGATCATATTGAAGCCAGGCTTTCTAACATCATTCCTGTTGGTCATCATCAACTATTGTGGATGACCGTCAACAGCATTGAATATTCATCGACACCTCAACTCTTTCTTGAAAATTTTCTTTATAATAGTCGATGTTACCAGTGACTTTTTACATTTACGTTAATCTATTTTTCTAAACGTTTAACATTTTTGTAGCAACTTACATTTCCAACCACGAATATAAAATATCATTTTTGTACGAGATCTTAAATTAACAAAGGACCATATACCGCATTGAGTGTCTTTCAACTAGATATTCATTGGCCAGCTTGACCTTGCTGAGTATTATCTGAACGATTTTCGATAATGATTTAGCGAAGAGGCTTTCGTAATTATGCACTATATTATATATATATATATATATATATATATATATTATANCCCCTCCCCCCAGAGAGGCTCAATTTGATTGGGTCAAAATGATAACGAGTTTTATCCCGCATGGAGGGCATACTTCAAAATTACTTATGAGACAACATATGAAAATTTTATTAAAAAATTTTGTCGACTGAAGATACTGGAAATATCACGATGTCACATTAAAGTGTCCCTCTTTTTCACCAATAATAATTTAAATGACTTTTAATGATTAATCAATGAAAAATTGCTTACTGCCTTGGACAGACAAATTTGCTCTTTCTTTTGAAAGTAAAATGATATTTTAAAGTTTCTCTAACTGAATAGTCCGCAGTAGACTTGACTTACTGGGTCGTGAAAGAGGCAGACCGGCATACCAGATTAAATCAAGTGAAAGTGTATAGGATGACATCCTAATCCCACCTAGATCCATTAAGCTTAAAACCCGTTATCATCCTATCCCTAACTCGAGTTGAACAATTTATATCCACCCGGTTGGTGGCCAAATCGCCTTAAATTGAGGTGACACCATTCCTGGTAGCTCGACAGTCTGTTTAAGCTAAACTGTCATTGGTCCGACAGTGGATCGCCTTTTAAACGTCAATTTTATTCCAACTAATAATCTTTAAAAACGTAACCAAATGCCCCCCCCCCCCCCCCCCCCCCAACCGTACCAACTAGGACCGGAAGAAACAGGCCGTTCAAAACGTAGCAACGTTGACAAAATTATACGAAAGTTCAAATTAATATTTAAGCTTTGTCAACAGATTATAATCTAACATACCGAAATTACTGAGAGAACAAAATCAATTGAAATCACGTTAAAGCATTATTTCGCATTGAATCAGCAATAATCGATAGCCCTTCTTGGTATTCTGGATTACTTGTTTCGTCTTAAGGTGATGTCGTTGGACCGACTCTCAGTAAAAAGTTGGAATATGCCACCACTGAAAATGTCCTTAAATTGTCCTATGGAGCGGCAGAAAACGTTTTCTTTGAACTTGGCTTCAACCTGCAGCTTTTATTTTACCTACGAGGTGGCGGTTACCTTCCAAAAAGTGTTTTACTGGCAGGAATCAACTACTGCTCCGTGGTGCTTCAGAAAGGCTTCACATACTTCGATAACTCCACTGGTGCCTTCTGTAACTTTAGAGATCACAAGGATAGGTAAATCTGAAAATCGCACTTAAATAACCATTGTTTTCTAGGCCACATGCCCTTCCAACGGCATTTGCACTCTGGAATATGCAACTCGCGCGTCTGACAGAATGGGAGCGGTACATTTTTGTGGAAGATGAAACTTTCATTAGAGCTATCACATTCCTTCTCGATACACAGGTTCATTAAAAAGTACCACCTATGTCAATAAATTTTAAAGATAGGGATAAAACCATTCATCTTCCTGTTTAGGTGAATACATCTTCTGGAGCAAATTCTCAACTTATCGGAAGTTGGCCCGTGGATGGAGAAGGCATTGTAATTGTCGACAGAAGATTTGTTCCTCCGGTAAATGCCTCTATGATTACGGATGCAGTAGAATATGAAGCCCATAGAAGACTGCCCACTGCAGCGATGGTTGTGATCAGTTTGAGGGCCTCTGGTACCTCACCTCCAAGTGGTCTGGCTGCAGAACGAGCTTCAAAAGTTGTTCAGGCAGCGGTGAATTTCATCCGACAACACGTGCTGAATGTGGAAGATTTGTTCGCAAAGATTATAGCAACTTATGCATTGCAAGTAGCCGCCGGTTCCAGTGCTCAAAATGAACTTACGCAGTAAGTTCTGGAAGCGTAAATGGGAGTCATTTAAACATCCTAATATCCGTAATAATTGGCTAATGAACTCATTAATCTCATTTTAATGGTCTTAAAATGCTCGAACTTGCTAATTGTTTACTTTAGATTCAGTTATTATTCAAAGGATGAATGAACACAAAATTGTATTTGTTAAAATTGGGAAAGGCACCATTTGTAGTCTACCCGTTAGGGAAAAAATTACCAAAACAGATGAAATAAATAGAATTAATAATAGTAATCGATAAGACGAAGTATATATCGACTATTCCAAACCAGTTGATATCTTCAGTGAAATAGAAGCATCCCAGATGTTATTCAGTTTCTGAATATTGCTGAAAGATCAATTATTGGCCTATAGGGATTGTCGAGAATCCCCGTTAATGTGAGTGCATATGCACTGACATAGTGGTTATCAGAAGTCAAGTGTTCGGGATATTTATTTATTTATTTATATCAAACGGCAGGCGTCTTGATGGTTATCATTAGCCCTTTAGTTGACTTCAGGCTTCACAGAGAGGAAGGAACATCAAATTGAAAAAAGTCGAGAGGGGGGGGGGGACAGAAGAGTGTTTCAAAGATGTAAGAGACAAACACAAAGGTAGAACAAAGGTGAGGTGAGTACTGTGGAAATAGTCGAATATGGCATAGAGTGAGATGATGGTAGTTTGAAGTGATAAGTCAAATGCCGGTTAATAGACTTTTTTGCCGTATGAGAATACGTTGCCCAGGGTGCACCACGTAGAGGCAAGTCTATCGCACACCCCCGTGTTCGGGATATAATCTGCAAGCGTTGGGTAAATAATATTTTAGAATTCCACTTCCTACTGACTTTCCTCTGTACTCAATTTCAACACGAATTTCCTTTGTCTCCCATTTGCTTAAAAAGCATAATTTTTGTTCTATCACAGTAATGAAAGATTAATGAATTTATGGTTACTGTTGATAATAATTCTACTAACTTATTGATCATCAGCACGTTGGGGTTTGTTGGGTTTTGGCTGAGTGAATGCTTATTTGATACGAGGTGAAATATGGGACGAAGTTATAGGGAGCTCAGTAGAGAGATAGAATAAAGAAGACTCCACGAGGGGTCAACATTTTAAACTCACCCTCGTGTTTGACATGAAGCTGTTTTCAGTTTCATTAAACAAGACAAATTTTTTGTTTTTCTAGGGCAATGAAACAGATTGAAGCACGGCGTTTGAAGGCAGACCACGTCTACTACGCCAACTATCCAATCCCGCCACCCCTCTACGAAATAGATCAAGCAGGCCGACGAATTGAAAACCCACGTGGAGAGTGGCCTAACGACGGTTATGGAGTTGTCTGTTCAGCTCTAATGTTCCTTATCAAACTGGAGACCAATGCTTGGAGTCCATCAGTTGAGGAGGCTCAAGATATGGTCATGTGGCTCACGAGTCAGAGAAACCATGTCTCCGGTTTCAGTAGCACCTTTGTATGTATTATTTATTTAAACCCTCTTCTCAAAAGATGATAAGTGATTTGAAAGGTGTATGAGAAATGGGAAAGGTTTGGGTTTTTGCATTAATACAACTTAGTTAAAGAGAGAGTTAATGGACCAAGTCTAAATCACATCTTACGTTGTTTAAGCAAATGTTAAATGACCTTCAGGTCTTGTAAGATCAATGGAATTTCTATGAATCCGAATCGGTGTAAGATTTACTTTATACAAAATACCAGCCATTAAGCTAAGATGGATTTACGATTAAACTTTCAATTACCCAAATGGTGTCTTTAACATATTATTTGTGAAATTTATTCATCCTATGGAAATCAAGTTGTTGTATAAAAACGCCTTTTATGATTAATTAAGTCAAATATATATATATATATATATATATATATATAAGAATATGATCAAATAACGTATTTAACGTAAGTCATAGGATAAGATTACTATTAGTAGCAGAACAAATATTCTACAGCCTTAGGATATGATGAAGCATTTAACCAGGTAGCATGAAGAAAGATAATTCGGTTTTATGGGGGCTGGGGTGAGAAATAGGAGACATGGTGAACCCCACTGCACCTTGAATTTCAGGACTATTAGTCCAGCTGCCATGTAAATTATATTAAATATCAACCACATTGCCACCCTTTCATTAAAGTCAAAATTTTCAACAGCCTGAATTTTAACGACTTGACAGCTATTCATTACCTTCATAACCTAACTGATAAGTATCTATTGGACGAAAAAAATGGCCAATTGGGAGATCATTGTGAGTTTATGGTAGTCTCCATTCACCTCCATCTGCAATGAGTCAACGGTTTGGAAATGTTGTATACACAGTTATTCTCTCACATATATATTTCAGTTGTAGTTGGTGTTTACTAATTCAAAAATTATAAATTTTAAAGGAATGGATTTCCCATCTTGTCACATTTCTCCTATTTGCATTTTGCTCCCCTAATGAACTCTACATCCAATCAGATTTGAACACGATTGCTTTCACTTGAAGGTTTCAGCTTTAAAACATCGCCTCTTTTGCTAATTTTCCATAAATGGTCTTTTCCGAGTTCTTTGATTTCATTTCTCTTAAATTTTAATGAAAAAAAATTTGTCTCTATTTTTTGTTATTTAAAATAGATTTTACAAGTGCAAGGACAATGTGAATTCGAGGTCACTCATGATTCATCAATTCACTGGAGGTTACCAGCGTCATTTAGAAATAATATACCAGAAATGCTATGTTAAAATTCGTGTTTCCTGTATAAAATTTGCTGAATTTTTCGGCTATCAAAACTTTTATTTCAAATGGCAGGAGTATTGATAGTCATCATTAGCCCTTTAGCTGGCTTCGGACTTCACAGAGGGGGGGTGGGGGAACAGTATAGTGTGAAAAATTCGAGAGGGGGGGGGGGAAGAAGAGTGATTCACAGATGTAAAGTGAAAGAGAGTCACGTAGGCAGAGAAAAGGTAAGATGAGTACTGTTGAAGTGGTCGAATTTTACATACAGTAAAGTGATGGTAGTTTGAAGTCAGAGATCAATTGCCGGTTAATGGACTTTTGCCGTATGAGTATATGTTGCCCAGGCTGCACCACGTGGAGGTAAGTCTATCGCGTACCCCTGCTATCAAAACTTATATGCTTTCAAAGTGATCGAGCCACTATCTAAATTTACCTAAAACTTTATCATTTCTAAACCACATGAACATGAGTTCACTCGGGAAAAGGTGGCATTGGTTTATTTCCAACTTGAGCAATGCTATATGAATTATTAATATTGTCTTAAAGAGGCTGCTTATTTAGTACTTCAAATTGCTTATATAATTTAACTGTGACTTTGCCTATATTTTGAAGTGGGGGGTTGTCTTTTGGAAGCATTACTTCATCTTGTGATGAATTAAAATTTGTACATTAGGGTTTTTGCGTTACGTTTTACAGAATAATAAAGGGTAGTTTGTCAAAGTGTCCTAAAGGTGTTCTTACAGGCCACATTTCCTATAAAAACCATAGGACTTCTTCATTTCAAAAGTTGGCCACAGTAGAAATGAATGATGGCTGGAACCGACCTAAAATCATAAAGAGAGTCACTTGTATCACATTAATTCCCAATGGCCATCGAAGTGAGTATGGAAAGTGTTTAATGCTCAAGCAACACTCTGAAAGCAATTTGACATGAACTGGAGAATTGCTATGAAGACCACGAGTCTGCTGTGGCATGACGCTAGCAGCACATCAAAGGATCTGATCTGGTTGAGTTCGCACAGAAGGTTACCTCTGATATAAAGCATAAATCTGATTAAATATGGTAGCACAGTTTGGGTCAGATGACGCAACGAAAACCTTAAGGTCACATTTACTTACACGAGGGATTTTCGGGGTATTAGGTCCTTTGGACAGGTTAGGAAGGTTTTAGCCAGTTTTAATCAAAACGGAAATTAAAGCAGTATAATTAAATATGTGAGCTTCATTGCTTTAGTAAAATCTTTCAATGAGTGTGAACCTATCTAAACCGAATCAAACCAATTGATTATTAGTTTGATTCTGGGGTTCTGATTTATTTCCAATGCCACCACGTTATTTCCACATAGGATCTCTTATTCGTCAATCTTGCTCCATCTTATTTTAAATTAACTATTTATTTATATCAAATGGCAGGCGTTTTGATAGTTATCATTAGCCCTGGAGCTGACTTCGGGGCTTCACAGAAAGGAGAAGGAACATCAAAGTGGCAAAAAGTCGAGAGGGGGAACAGAAGAGTGATTCACAGATGTAAGAGAGACAGACAGACAGACACAAAGGCATAAAATAGGTAAGATGAGTACTGTGAAAGGGGTCGAATATGACAAATTGTCGGACCATAGTAGTTTGAAGTCAGAAGTCAACTGCCGATCAATAGACCTTTTTGCCGTATAAGTATGCGTTGCCCAGGGTGCACCATGNGGGAAAGGTTTGGGTTTTTGCATTAATACAACTTAGTTAAAGAGAGAGTTAATGGACCAAGTCTAAATCACATCTTACGTTGTTTAAGCAAATGTTAAATGACCTTCAGGTCTTGTAAGATCAATGGAATTTCTATGAATCCGAATCGGTGTAAGATTTACTTTATACAAAATACCAGCCATTAAGCTAAGATGGATTTACGATTAAACTTTCAATTACCCAAATGGTGTCTTTAACATATTATTTGTGAAATTTATTCATCCTATGGAAATCAAGTTGTTGTATAAAAACGCCTTTTATGATTAATTAAGTCAAATATATATATATATATATATATATATATATAAGAATACGTATTTTATTTTCCTATAGGATGGTATCGAAAACTATTTGCTCATTTTGACGTTTCAAACTAACAGGTTCAAACCCCCTTCAATCCCTTCAATGGATTTACTTAAAGACCGTTAACTTAGACACAATGATCTCAAACAGAAGGTGACAAAGATCGGGATCACTAAGAGATGAGATTAACAGAGCATCCAAATTTTTATGAATGGGTCATGTTTGCACACATTTTGGCTGTGCGCATGCTTCGTGTTCCTTGTCAGTTATATCAATCATGGAAGCTCAACCAAGTTAATTAATCCATACGGAGAAACAAATCCCCATATGTCCCACCTTCCATAATGCCTCATACTTCTGTATTTTAGGATTCCTTAGTGGCACTTACGGCCCTTCGAAAATATGCTCTTGCTGATAAGAATCGAGCCCTCTACAAAATGACCATCAATCAAAAGATTAGCTCACTCAAACAGTGGGAGCCAACTGTCCTTATCGTGCCCGACAACTACTCAACTTTATCTCAAACTTCCGTAAATATTTGCCAACATTTAACCCACTGTACGTTTTTTATGACTTCATGCTGATAGGCTTTTCTTTGCTTATTGCAGTATCCTCCAAGGTCAGTCTGGGGTGATGTGACTTTGGTGGTAGAAGGAACCGGACTGGTCACTCTTCAGTTGGATGTCAGTTACAATGTCGAATTTCCTGATATCCAACGTGAACCTCTCAACCCACAAAATCTCCTTGAATTCTATCCCAGTTTCGATATCGAATGCACGCCCTTCTTCTCGGGAAGAAATCACTCCTTCATGCGAATGTCAGTTTGTGGTAGTTGGACGGGAAATCATGTAAGTAGTGAAGGACTCGAACTCGGATTCTCTGCATTTTAACTGAAATGTACGGCTTCTTGACTTTTTTAAAGACTCGAGGTCGGTCATTTTGGTATATCGTTAATCATAAAATGATACATCGGTTTTTGCATAACTGCGCCATACGATGTATTGTTTAGACTACCAGATGCCTAGCTAGAGGGTATCAGCTAGATTGAATAGACACCAATGCTTTCAGGGAAAAAACCTTCGAGGAGGTTCTTATTGAATATGTTGACCACGCTGTTAATGGCATTCTAATATCTAGCGTTTCAACTACCAGAAAGTGAGCACTTGGAATCCGTCTGAGGGAAAATATTTGCTTCGAACCTGGTTTTTTATCTCCAATTCCCTTGTGTTGGCGATATGTACTTTTAGGAACGGAATCGGCACTGTTGGCTACTTTCACCTTGAGAGCCATAAAAGGTTATGGCGTGGTATTACCTCCAGCGGTTATCATGTCCACTACGGTACCAAATTTATTTGCATAAATTTGCACCCCTTTAAAAATAGACATTATGGCCAACATTTTGGTTGTGTACACCTTTATGGTAGCATTCTAACAGTTGTTACCATGTATTTATGATATCTACTATAGGCGTGTGTCTGCATTCACACTTTCTTGTAAGATAAGTGCGTTTTTAGGCTATTGAATCTAGCAAAATGCCAAGTTTTACATTTTCATGAACCTCCATTAAACGTAGTCTTGGCGCCTTCATTTCACCAATTTCACGTCTATTTTAACCCTTTAACGTCCTTTGGACCTTACGGTCCTGTCTCCGTATAAGCTCCATTGGTATTAGACTTCTAACAGAAGGTGTTTTTGCCGTGTGAACCATGTTAAATACGCGTCTATAGTCTTCGCCTGATATACCGCCAAAATTCATCACGTCAGCGAAATCAGTCTGCTGTAAGACGCGCGTAAATGCCTTTGGGTGAATTTTTCAAAAAAATAATTCGGGCGTTAAAGGGTCAAACAGCTATTTTTAGTAGTATTTGTGATTATTTATACATGCTTGTTAAATTCCAGCCATTGGAACCAGCTAATGAAAGCGGAATGGCGGTGTTTAAGGTTCGAGTTCCTACGGGATACGTGGTGTTGAATGATGAACTTCGGGATTACGTGCGCAGTAGTGCGGTTCCTCGATTGAAATATGCAAGGTTTCTGCAACAACATGTGCACTTCTTCTTTGATAAGGTGAGTCAACATTCATTGCAAAGGTGGATTGCTGTTCAGTCCGATAATATTTAACTCTAACGACCTTCAACTATCAGGCCAGACTGCATAGGAGCAATTTATGCACGTTTTAAGGCATTTCTGCTTCTGGATTTGCGATGGATTAGCTCAGTTGAGTGTCACTCTATTAGATGTCGAGCAATGTATGGCGCACTGCTGTGAAAATTTAATAAGATAGGGGGTTTTATACCTTAGAAACAACAATATTACTGCTAGAAAGCGGATTTTCGGGCACTCAAGTTACAGAAAGACCTCTACCGTACCTATTCAAAATGAAGTACATAATCTTTCCTTGAAGAAAATACGATTTCTTATTGCTAAATTAAAAAAATTACATTTCCAGTGAAATAAAGCCATCTAAACACGAATAACTCGAAAAAATAGAATTAAAAAGTCGATTACTTTTCCAAAAAAATTGCACATTCTTATAAGGAAGCCAATCTTGAACTCTTTCAGTTGCAAAGGTGCCACTTTCCATGTTGATTAATAAGATTCAAGAATTTGTAGCTACTGTCGTCTCTTGAATTTGTCAGCGTCCTCCTACCTTGAACTTGGTACTCTGGTGCACTCTTGGCCATAATCCCCCTAATCACATGCACTAAGGAGACCTGTTAAGTCTCTCTTCAGTTTCCAAAGTTCCACTATTCTGATCGCATATTTAGGCGTTAGGCCTGTTCCCTAGCAGGTTTAGAATGGGCATGCACTCGACAGCAATCAGGAATTTAAGAGTCTGCTTAATCAAGCAGTGTTTATTCATTGATAGTTCTGGAGAACAATTAGAACTGAGCGTTTTTAGAGGATTATTTCATTCACTCGAAAAAAGCCCATTTTATAAAACAGATTGACATAGTTTTTCTAACTTTCTGTCAATTTACGGCAATTAATTTGCCCGAATCTCTCACCTCGCTTACACCTGCCAGACTGTTAGGATTTTTAAACCGGTTTCATGTCACCTGCACACTGGTGTCACAGTGGACATTTGCCATTTCCTATTGGTCAGCCATTGTGTACGTATGACCACTGAATCAATACTGTTTTGCCACAATGTTAAGGGGCGGAATTGGCAGCAATGGGAAAGCGGCCTTTATCATTTGCTGCAATTCCCCAGCGCGTACGAACGCTTTCAAGTCGAAATTGTGTATGATTCCTCCTAAATTCCTAAACGAAATCTTATAAAAGTTGTTGGAATGTAATTTTTATTTGTTAAAAGGCTTTTTGGTTACAAAATAGTATCTTAATTGTCAAGACCATTTGTACGGTTAAATTGTTAAAAAAAGGAATAGATGAGAACAAATAGATAGTGCAACCATAGAACTGAAAGGATCTTAGTACACCGCACTCACTTAATGATCGGTTTTCCGCCACCTGTTCATGCTTTCCAGGTTTTTAATATCACGATTTGGCCCTGAGTGAATCTGAGGTTACAAAATCCAAAGCTTATTGGCCAGTTGTTCAATTTTGAATGTTGATTATGCTGTAGTAATGAAATCAATCTTTTATTAAAGAAGAAATGAAGTTAATTGGGCCAAACTGACATAATTGAATTATAATGGAATTCAATATATTCATATTAATTAGGCCTAGGCTTTATTGATATTTAAATCGCATTTTCTTGGATCCTATTGAGATCAGTTAAAAGTTAAAACCCCGTAATTTATGATTGGTGGAAGGGTAGGCAGCCCCTCCTGCCCATTGGCATTTCTCATCTTACAGTCATTAATTCTGAGGTCATTTTAAGGTCAGATTAGGCGGCTTAAGAATATGACGTTCTTATCTCTACACTACATATTTCACCATCCTTACCAAGGGTTTCCCAAGATCTCCAAGTGATGCCTCGTTATATCTAAGGTCTTTCTGACTAGTGCTATTAATCGCACAGTTGGAGGATGAAATTCATTCAGTATAGACCAAGTTGAAAAGCCTAGTTGCTGGAATCATTCTCGAGAGTTATGGCCTGAAAGTAATACAGCCCCATACTCAATCACAGGGAGACTTGTAGAATTTAACAGAAAAGCTTCTTTAGGAGTGAGGAAGGGAGACGAAGGTGGTTCTTCTTAGATCCATTCAATCTTGTTTGAGCATGTCTTTCAGCCAATGGGTGTGCACCAATTAGTCTGGTTAACCACTGATTATGAAATACTTTACCGAAATTACCTTTTTGAGCACAGCCTCTGGGTCTCTGATAGCTAGGAAATCCTATTTCCTCACCGCGGTGTTAGGACTTTAAGCTGGGGAATATCTTATAGGATCATTTATCCTCTCAACTACAGAAAAAAAACATACGACTTAAAGTTGTAAAGTCAACCATTTTGATTAAAAATCTGTCAATCAGTACCAACTCTTTCAGTGAACATTTTACAACCTGAGCCCAAAGTCAAAAACACTAAGACGTTTTGAGACCTTGACAGCATATTTTTTATCCTCTCCTTCTGATCATTTATTGGACTCTCCGCTAATCGATGTCACTTGCTTCCCACAATTAAAAATTTACTTTTATATCAGGTGACAATAATAACCACCCCAGAATATCATATTGCTAACTTTGTTGTTGCACTGTGAGTAAAACAATCATAAGTTATTTATTTATTTATATCAAATGGCAGGCGTTTTGATGTTTATCATTAGCCCTTTAGTTGACTTCAGGCTTCACAGAGAGGAAGGAACATCGAAGGGAAAAAAGGTCGAGAGGGGGGGGAAGAGAAGAGTGTTTCAAAGATGTAAAAGAGACAGACACAAAGGTATAGAAAAGGCGAGGCGAGTAATGTGGAAGTAATCAAATATGAGAATATGGCATAGAGTGGGATGATGGTAGTTTGAAGTCAGAAGTCAACTAAAAAATATTCGGGCCATAGAAATTTGAAGTCAGAAGTCAACTGAAGTTTGGGGGTCGTGGTAGTTTGAAGTCAGAAGTCAACTGCAGGTTAATAGACTTTTTTGCCATATGAGTATACGTTGCCCATAGTGCATGAGGTGGTGGTAGTTTGAAGTGAGAAGTCAACTGCCTTAGTCGAATATGACATACAGTGGGGTCAGAAGTCACTGCCATACAATGGGGTGATGGTAGTTTGAAGTCAGAAGTCAATAGCCATATTAATAGACTTTTTGCCGTATGAGTATACGTTGCCCAGGGCGTAGGTAATAGACTTTTTTGCCATATGAGTATACGTTGCCCAGGGCGCACAAATAGACTTTTTTGCCGTATGAGAATACGTTGCCCAGGGTCCACCACATGGAGGTAGTCTATCGCACACCCCACAATCATAAGTTAAAAGTTGGGAGATTTCTACGTTATTTTTAGCGTCATTTTCAATCAAAAAAAATGCAAAATGAGATGAGGTTCGACGCTTTCATTGTCCATCATTAATTATGTTAACTGTTTGCCGATAAAATACTAATTTATAACTCGGCACAGTGCTGACTAAGCACCGAAGTGCCAGTTAATATTTTTAAGAAAGTATCGTTACGTAGATATCTCATATTTGATTGCAACTGTCTGTTTTCTTCCAAGTAAAGTTAGTAAAATAATTGCAGTGATCTCACGTCTGTTGGGTTAACAGTTAAATCTTTTAATCCATAATATCGGGAGATTTTGGGATTTGTATTCACTATATCAGTAGAAAGTGGCACCTTGAAATGCTTAATAATAAGAATAATGACAATTGCCAGCAATATCGATCTCTAGAATGACTAAAGGTTTTCAATCTACGCCGGTTTCTCTTTTAATTAATATTAATAATTCCGATCAGCCATTCAGATTAGAGGCTGTGTATTGGCGAAAATATCTAACACGAGGCCCCAAAGGCGTTTTAACCGCGTTTTACTTAAAACTTATTCATCCTAGTTTCTGAATAAAATAATTTTGTTTCAGCTGACAACTGAACGAACGTGCGTTGAATTTAACGCTTCGCGTTTCTACCCAGTTGCTAACATGACTGATCACCAAATATGCTATGCTTATGAGTACTATGAACCAGGCAAGTACCATTCTTGTACAGTTCTATCCCCTCTAGCTTAAGTGACCATTTCCCTCTCCCTTTTCAGCTCGTTATAACAACAGTATGTATGAAGTCATCTCCCTTTATACAAATACAATTTGCAGTGTTTGCGGATCATATCAATGCCCCTATTGTCCTGATTATAATGGAAGTACTAGCAGCAAACTTAGTTCGGCACTTATCATAGCGGTTGTAATCTTCCTAACCTTCCACCACTTTCGATCCAATTATGGATAAAAGCAGATCCATACACTCCTGTTTTTTTATCCTATTTTTTCTGTATTTACTAAATATCAACACACTTTCTACATTACACTACTTGAGAGGTTGTTTTAATGTTTAGGTGAAGCGCAAATGAACCTTCCCCCCCCCCCCCCCCCCGCCATGGTGGACACACGTCCAAACGAATCGACAGTGTCCACTGATTGGTTAGTAAGTCTGCGTGCTGCAACCGACTAAGCCCAATAGGAAACATGAAAATACGACTAGGCAGGAGCCCTTTTTTTATTGACACGCGATAAGGTGATGAACAAGAAGGGGCACGAAAGCGATAAGATTACCAAGAGAGATGAAATCTGAGGGAGCCAAAAGCCGGGTGTTGATAATAGATATACACAAACACACAGACGATAGCGAAGAACGAAATCTTTTTTTTGTTGATTGAGAATGCGAAAGAGTGAGAGTGACAAAACCCTCTCACAGTCTGAGAGTGAGAGAACTAGGCGATATTCGAAAGACAAGGAAGGGAAATAACTGGTGAGGCTCTTCCTAGTCCCTTTTCTTGTCCGTATTCAGGGTGAAGTTGGGGGAGTTCGTTCGACGTATTGGAGTGGGGCTAGGACCATCTTTTGTAGTAGAACTGCCAGATCCAGTGCCATAAGCGTCTTGGCCGACACCAACCCCGGAACTTGGAGCGATAACTCCTGAACCGGATCCTCCTGTTGAATCAATCATTTCCTCATGCTTCTGACGTGTTACAGCGGCTTTAAGGGCATCGACCACACCACCGAAGAAGATAGCACAAATGAGATTTTGAATTGGCGCGAAGGGATCCTTCAAGCCGAGGCATAGCATTGCAACACTGAAAAAAAGAAAAATATGTCCAAAGTTAAATATTAGATTTCAATAATGGCTAAAATAATGCACCATTCCCTATACCTCACAAAATTGAGTTTCGTCCAACTTGTACTATAAAAGGAGCTAGCTTTCAAGACATAGAATGAAAAATAAAATCAAATTCATAGGAAAAGATATTTTGGTAGCCTAATGAAGATTCAATAATCAGATGGCTGAAATGTGGGGAAAAAATCAATGAATGGAATAAAAACGACATTTAAAGAACGATCATTTGTGGATGGTTAAGTGCTCAGACTTAGCTGGCTAAAGAGATTTGACAATACGCAAAGTTGAGGTGTGAACATAGAAAAATGTGAATTTATTGCATAGCAAGCTCATACGTTCTTCTAAGTTTTCGCAGATAAGAAATTAACACAAATTGCTCACTTCAGTAGAGCCTAACTAGAGGCAATATTGTGCATTAGAACAAGTAAAAACGGCAAACTTTCGAGAAAGCTTAGTAGAAGTAAGAGTATAGCACCAAGAGAAGTAACTTACCGCATATAGACCATAACTCCCACCACAGAGAGGAAGAGCTGATCACGCGAGAGTGGGATTAAGTCCAAGAGATCACAGTAGTAGACAATTGCCGAGAGAAGTGATATCTTCGTTGTGCTTCACGAGGTAGAAGGAGAGAGAGAGAGAAAAAAAGGCAATCTAGTCAAACACCTCCGTTTCAACAAATAAGCAAAGTAGGGGGGTGGGGGGGGGGGCTAAGGTTGGAAGACAGGAGCATGCCTTAACTAGAGCAAATTGGAACCACAAAACCCCCGTAAATAAATGTTGAATGCAATGAACATAACATGGGCAAACGGATCACTTTCGGGCATGCGGCAGCGGGAAGTGGTCTAGGGTGGGCATAACACGATAGTGATGGGTTGAAGTACGAAGATACTACTTACAAACTGGGATGAAGGAATTCAGACGAGGCGGGCAACCAGACCCCACGAACTAATCGGGCAAATACCTTCATCTCCAAATAACCCGTACCTAACAAAGAGAGATGCTACTTATTTCGCTTAGTTAATGAATGATTGGTCAGTGAGCGCACACATCCGAATTCGCATACAAACTTGGTAGAAAATAATATCGGCACTCAATTCTCAAGTCATAAGAAGATTCCTTAATTGTTGATATACTACTTCCAAAGAATTTCAGTGATTAGTGCATAGAAATACTCAATAAAAACCGGATGGGATGATAGTATCTGCGAAGCAGTTGCATGTTCGACTTTACCAATTTGGCGTTTTTACTTAATTACCGGGGTTTTCCGAAAATCTGCCCAGAACGGTTAAACGGAAAATTCTATTTCATGAGACTCTATTTTGCAACCGAATGATCGCCCGTGTGGAAAAGCAAGCTCCAGTCCCTAATAGAGAAAAGCACTCATTCGGATGGGCGGACTTTTGGAAAACCCCGGTACAGCTCAAGGCTTCATTGGCCAATCGCTCTGTAGCTATATAAAGGAAAAAAGCCTCATAACTTTATAAAGGTCTAGATGTAGATTTTCTGCTCAAACAAGAAATCAAATTAGCTTATGGAATTATGTGGAACCAAAATCCTAGAGAAAGGTAATCACTCCTGCTGTGATCCTCCCAATGACTACCAATTTAAACCCTGATGAAAATCAAAGATTTCGAATATTTCAAGACAGGATGATCCTAAAGAACAAAAATTGACCGACTAAAAAATCCTTACCCAATTCTTCTAAATTTGCACTCCTTCTCCTCAATAAAAGTGAAACTGATTGTTCAGCATTTAACGGTTTGCACAATATTTTCGCTAAGTTGACTAAATTGGCTTAAGAAGACACTGGGTAAACTGGTGAGGAAATTCATTGCATAACATCTCAAATCCACTAAAAAGTATCCCCATATTATCCAATTTCAGAACGATTTCATTGACAACCCTTCCCCCCCCCCAAACCGTACGCAGTTGGAAACGAACCCCAACATCTCTTGATGCATTTCCATAAGATGTCGACGACTAGCGGAAGGTAGCACCTGAATCTGCTTTGAGTTAGTTGAAAGCACACGACAAATAAAGAATTCTGACTAAAGTCAATTTGCATTAAAGGATGAAAAAATAACCATAACTAATATGATTCATGACGCAATTTCACAGTTAGAAGAGTCCATAAGTGCACTCTGTATCGAGTAAGGCAAAAAACATCTGACTGGGCCAAAAAAGATTAAAAATTTAATTATTGGATGCTAACAAGCACTTCGAATCGTAAATATTAGCTCCATTAAAATGTGTTAGGATTACATGATATTGAACAATGTGCGTGATTTGGAACATCAACTAAATTAGAACTGGATTAAAAACGCGTTCTTATAAAAGGCCGTCAATCAAAGCAATTTTACATTAAGCAGCTTTTAATGCTAGGCTCTTCAGCTAAACATCATTAGCTATCTTACCAGGGTTTCAGAAAAAAAGTATTTGCCACCACTTCGCCTTAATCCCCAGGGCAGAGCCTTCCTATTTCACTCGTCTCTCCGTCTAATACGTTAGACACTGAAAGCTGTACATTTTCACTTTGAACACAAACCACAAATAAAGTTTAACTAGCTTGATTGTATCAATGAAACAATTGATGACTTGATGTTGAGGCTTAATTAGACCTATGCCCCCCCCCCTTAATGCCCTAACTATAGAGAGAAGGGAAGCAATCCGGGATCACATCTGGGGGAGGAGAACATACATGGGACAGAAGGGCAGAATACTTACTAAGATACAACTAAGAATTCAACTTCTTTAGGCTTCCAAACACCAGCAGTTAGTAGGGCAATACTTCGCATAAGTGAACTACCCGTACCTAAAATGATGCGTAAATACGCCACGACCGACAATTACATTTAGAATAATTAATAAGCAATTAGAAGGGAAGAACAATATATATAAGCCTAAAATTAACTAGGCAAATGCATTAAATGAATGTAATTAAGGGGTATTAAATGGGACATACCTTTAAGAAGACCAACTAAAATGCAAGTAACGGCGCTGTGGGGAAAATCGTGAAAGGCATGTGAAACTCCTAGCGATATTTTCTTAGCACGTTGAACTTCCTTCATGGCACATATTAATATTCGAACGAAAAAAAGAGAGCAAATTTTGTAGACAACGTCGAATGGTGAGTAGTTTATTAGGTACCAAACAACTGTGGCTGTGAGTACGGCTCGATAGTCATCGAAACACGCAAATATTGATTCACCAAGGACAAAATTTCCGAGAATAGCACCGCCGAAACACATCAGCATGGTTGCAAACCAACATGCAAAAGGGTGCTTTCGAGAAAATACCGCAGAGCCTTTTTAAAATAGAATTAATTAAGAAATGTTAAAATTGAAATAGACCCCCTATGAAAGCATATCAAAACTAACCAGACTGAGGAATATCTTCTCTGATAGCAGTGCTCATAAGTATATAGTGGGCTATATCAAAATACGGGTACATTCGCCATTTAGACACTGAATTTGCAAGATCATTTAAAATTTGGGGATCCATCTCCTTAATATATCGAAAGGCCGCCAGAAAATAACAACCGCATCGAATTTGGAAACTTGGACAGAGTTAGCTCAGATAACCTAGAGCAAATTACACAGTTAAACAACAATCAACGTTCTCATTAAACTTGCATTCAGAGCGCAAACTTTCCAACTGTAACTATATTTTTGTACTACTTTACTTATTTCAATTAAATTTATTTAAAGTATTATTTATGAATATTTAAAATATGTTAAATTTTGAAATTGCTTAATTTCCTAAATACATGATAGTACTTGATTGGGAGAAGCATTTAATCTAATCTTCAAACTTTAGGATTTAAATCACAAGAATTTGTATGCGAGACTTATAATCTACTACCACCTAACGAACTAATTAAAGTATTGGTTAGAAGTCAAAGCTTAGAAAATTTCAATCATATTTCTACTTTATGCGCGGATATCTGCGCATGAAGCAAGTTCAAACTTTTTGATTTTAGCATTAACCAATGCATTTTCCATGATCTAGTCTTCACCATTGATTTTGAAACTATCTTCATAAAAATCCTTCCACTACCAGTTGGCGTATAACTAAGCAAACCTCTTCTTCGAAGTTCAAAGAATTTTTAAGCTGAAAATTATATTCCATCAATGTTTTTTACAAATAATCAGGCGTAAAAAAGCATTTGTTAAGTATTTACACAACAGTATTATATTCTTTTTATCAATTTCTTCTTAAACCACGGCAATTGTTCATATCTTTTATATAATGGAAGATGGTTCATGTGTGTCTTGTCTCGAAAATTGACATTAACAATAATGCATGAGAATCTTTACCAAAATCGCAACATTGTCAGCTTTCGACTCTTTTACTTTAATGACTCTTACATTGGTCTCTATCTTTTTTCTAATTGACTGATTATTCAAGGAGTCTCTAAAGACGAATCATTGAGCAGTATGCCAGTTCATTGTCAATTATGGGTTTCACTCAACTTGCGCATATTGACACCCTTGATGCTTTGCTTTTCAAGCCCATAGTCATTAACCTATTTTATTAATACATCATATATTTACAAGACTGCAAGGAGTCTTCAAGTACGTTTTCCTAACACTATTCTAAAATGATCCCACTTTGACAAAATATTTGGGCATCGACAATAGTGATTCCAAAATAATGTAGCTGAATGGTACACTAGTAAAGCCTTGACTGATTCAGAAATCTCTATGGCGGAATCTCCTATATCTGGCCAGACTCCCTGAATTAGCTAAGCTACAGCCCGGCTATAGAGGAAACAAACAAATCACAAGGGGAACGTTTATTTTATGAAGTAAATAGTGGTAAAAGTGTACACGCCGCAATGTTAGTCATAGTCAATATGGCGGATTCACTAAACCAGCGAAGTCTTCTGATTGGCCATTGATTGTGCGCACGCGATCACATTTAGGCGATGACGTGTGCCATAGTAAGTATTAGCTAACAGTCACTTCTTAAACGAATTAATATGTTATCTAAAATTTTAATCATTATTGAAGAATTAAATATTGCCTCAGTGTATTAACCGGGCATTTTAATTTTAGTACCAGATAAATGTGTGGTTGTAAATAACCGTATAACGATTAGAGATAAACAAATGACGAATGCTTGTTTTTCATATCTCAAAAGCTTTCTAAATCATCTATTGCGCACATTCCTTTATTTCAGGGTTGCAGTTTACTAATGCATAACATTTATAGTTCTGCCACCTTTAACTAGCAGTGTTAAAGGTCTTTAATCTCCTGCTACACGTACTTACGCTTGCATAGTGCCAATGCATATGTATGTGATTTACTACCTTTAATTTCCACCAAACAATGAAAGATTTGGGGTGTGTGATAGACTTACCTCCACGTGGTGCAGCCTGGGCAACGTATACTCATACGGCAAAAAAGTCTATTAGCCGACCGTTGACTTCTCACTTCAAACTACCATCACCCCACTGTATGTCATATTCGACTACTTCACAGTACTCACCTCACCTTTTTTCTACCTTTGTGTCTGTCTCTTTTACATCTTTGAATCACTCTTCTGTCTCCCCCCTCCCCAAGACTTTTTTCACTTTGATGTTCCTTCCCCTTTGTGAAGCCTGAAGTCAACTAAAGGGCTAATGATAACTATCACAAAGCTTGCCATTTGATATAAATATATAAATGAAAGATTTTACTCACTAATCTACGGGAGTTTGTATTTTGCTTGTTTTGTGTATGTTTTACCTCCATAAATGCATAAATTAGCATTCTTATTTGCTTGTATACTTGCTTCGAGTAATCACCTGATTCAGCAGCTATTTTTAAACTTGTCGGCAATGGAACTTTAATTTTTGGCAAAAGCGAGGGCACTTTATAAGCGCAACGTTGGCACATAATCGAAATCGTTCAACTAAGGGTACTATTATCAGTCGTTGCAAGCATTATTTAACTTTAAAATAGCTGATTATGACCTGATATGGCCTATCGGC